GGCGACTGACCCAGTTTCCCTAAATTTAGCTACAAGTTCTAGAACATACTTTCGATGTACGTTACTGTTCTCATGTCGCTCATTAAATATTTCTGCTGTTCTATTAGCGCACTGATTATTTCCGAAAAATATTTCGATAATTTCAACTCTTTCTGCTGTGGAATGTACCATGGCTAATTTATGTAATAAAGCGTTACAAGTTATTTTAGCAACAAAGTTTGGTCAAATCAATCGCAAACTATGTACTTACTTCCGATTTAAAATAAGTACGAGATATTTCCTTATCTTCAAGAAAAAAAAATTTTGCCACAAAAAAACGCTCCAATAGCTATGTTCAACAACTAAATGATAAACAAACCATGGGCGTAGTGAAGAAAAGCATTTACTTATTAAGTAAATTCTTTTATTCAAATTTCTTCTGAAAGTAGTACAAACTAATCTGATGTACCTATTAAAGTCTACTTTAAGCTTTACATCAATAAATCTTCAAAACTTCTGAACTGAACTTCATGTATTTTACATCATTATAAAGGGCTGAAACCCACCGCATCAAGTCCAACGGTTGATCAAATATTTCTCGTGAAAGAAGATAATTCTTCACACATCGTAATAAAGTAGTCCGCAAGCTTCCCGCCCTTAACAAATGCAGGAATAAATATTCATATACTATATACTTAGGTTAGGTTAGGTTTCTTGTGAGTGCATCAATAACGATCCTCCACTGCGACCCTTTGGTCTATTGTGGCTCACAACAATTCATGTTTTTCCCAGTTGCTCCGACCTCCCGAGGAAGTCGATCAACTTGTTTGGAGAAATATCCTTCAGGCCTTCTGCTTGGAGTACTACGTCTCCAAGTATGTTGTACCTGAATCTGGCAATTGCAAGGCATCTGCACAATACATGTCGGACCGTTTCATCTCCCTCCATGTACAGTCTGCACTCAGCCATGCCCAGCCTGCTCATGTGGTGACGCACTTTGCAATGACCAATGTACAGTCCTACTAGAGCTTTAAGGCTATTCCTGTTCAGCCGCAGCAAAGAGTCTGTTACCTTTCTGCTAACCCTACCCAGTATTGATGGATCTTTCCGTCCATCTCTGCAGAGATTATTTGTTTAGCCGTATTGTATGCGATCCCAATCGCTGGCTCAGGCCCTATGAGGGGTGTGTTAGCCCCACACTATGCCAGAGTGTCAGCTGTCTCGTTTCCCTCTAGACCTGTGTGCTGGTATCCATATGAGATGGACTTCATTTCTCTTCCCTATGCCACCGAGTCCTTCTTTGCAGTTCCACACTAATTTCGATCCGATAACTATCCTAGTAATACTGATGCTGTTTTTGTAGTCCATTTTTAGCGTCAAGCATCCAAAAGGTACCTATTACAACTTTTTATATGGTACTTGGAACGTATACGTAGTATTAAAATCGATGGATGAACTACCAGGTAAATCTACTTTACTCAATTCCGTATGTTCTACTAACCAAATGCTGCATCAATTTATAATCTTTGAAGCTTTATATTTCCGGAAACGTGCAGTTCTCCCCCTTAAATTTTACATGACTTGGCAGCAGCCGAACTATTGAAGGATTCCAGTCATACGGCGTATTTAATTTGTACACCGCCGCTTGCATTACGTAAAACAAACTTCAACCGGAAACTTGAGATGAAAATTGGAAACTAGCGCTTCACTGCTTTAGACTAGTGTGCGGATACTTTTCAGTACTTGACAGAAGTTTGTTCTGGACTGCGCAACAGAAACTCAACAGAGAGCAGCAGTTTGTGATTAGTATGACATTCTATAATGTGTGATGTGTTCGGAATGACACGTGTCCTATTTGAAACATGTTATGTTCGCATTTCCGGTAATGTACGCTACTCGAAAAAATTAAGAGACCAGGCTGTATTCCGGCTAAACAGCAATTTAAGGTTCAAGATTCTAGTTTTCAGGTTTATAGCCGAAAAATTTTAGGAACAACGGTTCTTATGCAATTCTAACAGATGGCGCGACAACATTTTTTGCAAAACTTTTGCCTTCTTTTTTACTCCACGGGCACGAAAACGTTTCTTTTGTTAGGCCATCATATGGACCAGATTTTAAAATCTCGATACGATCAGTTGGCGTGGATATAGCCTTGTGAACCTTCTGGAATGGTTTTGTGTGCTACAGGGTTGGACTTTGAATTGAAAAAGGATCCTGGAAACCCGTTTAAGAACTTTATTTTTTGTGTCCTTAGTGTTGTTTTGGAAAATCGATCGCATTTTTGGGCCTGTTAATGAGAAGGCTAAAGGATTTCGCGAGAAACCGTACAATGGACCGATCGGCATTACCGTATTACATAGTTATTGTAGTAATACATGATTTTTTAATGTGAAAATGAGAACTAAATAACATATTAAACTTTTCCCATTCAACCACTGTCGTTAGACTTAATCCTACCATGTTTGTTTTTATTTTTATTTAAAATGATCCTCATAGCTTTATTTTGTAAAATTTTTAATTTTGAAAATATATTTCATTTGCTGTAAACAAGATGGTTGAACAATATAAAAAATGGGGAAAAATTATAGTTATTCAGAATTTTTTGCAATACATATACATACTAAGATTATGGGAAGCTTCATAGAAGTTATTTATCTTCTTTGATACTTTTTAAATAATGTATTCATATTGCTCGTGAAACAGTAGTTTACTATCCACATATATACCCATATATTTAAATAACTCAACTACTTCAATTTTTTATTATTAATTATGAGCCTAATTGTATTGTCACCTAAATGTTTCTCTATTGACATACACTTTGTTTTATTAGTGTTTAATTTGAGTTTGCTAACATGTAACCAATTCAAAATTTTTTTAATATCACTATTTATCAGTTCTAAAGCAGTTTCCAAATGCTTATGTGCTATATATATCAAGGTATCGTCCAAATATATTTGATTTTTGCAGTGTTCTAGAATGTCAGAGATATCATTTATATAAATAATAAATAATAACAGCTCTAATTTTCTCCTCTGTGGCACCCCGACTGATATATTTTGAACGCTTTACATAATATTTCCAATTTTAGTTTTTGGACTCCCATTTACTAAATAATTTTGTAAAATATTTAATACTGATTCTTTAAAACCAGAGTGATGCAATTTCATTAACAATGTTTCTCTATCTATAGTCTCAAATGCTGTTTTGAAGTCTAAAAGTACTGTTACAAAACAATCTTTTTCGCCTATACTTCTGCTCCTTAATTTTTTTGGCTAAGAAACCAGAAAATTAAAAACTTAAGCTATTTTAAACTCTAGATATGACCATGATACACCAAAATACAGCTTGTCAAAGATCACCGAAAATTTTTTTTGCTCCCTTAATTTTTTTGAGCAGTATATATGGAGGTATTTGATTATTTCGGGAACCGCGGCTGCTACGTTACTAAATAGTATTTTGTGTTGTACTGACAACAATCAACGAGCTGGAAGTATAGCCGTCTTGAGCATTTTCATGTACCTAACGGTAGCGGCTCATGATATTATCAATCACCTCTAATAACATTGCAACGTGGGCGTTCAAAGGAAGGCTGTGAAGGTACGACTGACGACGCTGTTTTGTCAAATCAGGAATTTAATGTAAAAAAATGAACTGCAAGAATACTATGCTCTTCTCTTTTGTTACTAAACTAATGTAATATTCCGCGCGGGGCCCTGGAAGCTAAATAGCTACGGGATGACAAACATGTTTTGAAAATACCTCTTGTTTTCATAAAGTTATCATATAAATCACAGTTTTGCGGATACTCTCGCCGTAGCACTTTATATAATATATAGCTTGATGAAAACAGAAGTCATTCTGACACTCTGTAAATTATCACGTAGCTTTAATTTGCAGAGACCTACGCTGAATGTTATATGATTTAGTTTAGTAACAATAGAGAAATATCTGCTTGGAACTCAATCGGTGTATTTGCTCTCCGCCGTAACACATCTCATCCCATATCTATTTAACGAAGACCATTGTTGCAAAGAAATACGATAGACAATTAGAAATTAATGACATTTTTGACAAATGTTGTGACAACTAGACTTTGAAGGCGATACTGTCTATTAAAAAAAATTAAAACCACTATATTTAAGTTGTTATCTAGACCCGGTATTTTTATGTATAGATTTTTCTAGCAATAAGCCTTTCCATCCCAGGAGCTCAATAACGCTTCAGGACGGTAAACTAACTTTGGCGCCCGTTAACCTTTAATTCACCCAAACAAAATAACCATACTGTACCCTCAAGCGTGCCAATAGTTACAGCTGTTGCTTAGCAACAAATAAATATTGACAATTCTCGCTGTTGTTGAGAATAGGTCAATTTAACTGGGCCCTAAAGTTACTTTACCGCGTCGTAGAGCCATCCATGCGCTAAAAAGGTAAGATTTAATACCCGGAAAACCTATTCTTAAGGTAAATTTTACTGCCTGGTTGCAGATAGAGATTCATTAATACACTACAAAATATACATATATTTACATTAAAATACTGTAACGCTGTCGTAACTGGACCTCTGCGACTGTCATCTGGAATTCGGCGATTCGACGATAAATACATACATGTACCAAAGGTGGGCAGGGAGAGTTGCCGATGAATAATCAAGAGGGCGAAAGGCAATAGTTGTAATAAATTAGTGTGAGACTAAAAATTAATCTTTAAAAGCGGTGTGATCGCTTACAAGGAAAATACGCATAATATAACAACACAGATACCTTTTGATTCTTTTGCAAGTTGTATATGGATTTTGTTTCTTTATTAGTAAAGGTGACTACTGATTTGGTGTCTCATCCAGAGTAAAGCAGCCCTATCAAAGCTAAAATCATTAACATTAACCGGTGTAAGATTAAATACATTAACTTTACATCCTTTAGAAATGTAGCTCCTATTTCTTGCGGTTTCTGCTGTTTCTCAAGACTTGTTCAATAAATTGAATTATAGTGTATTATAGTAGGCGTGGGAGAAACTTACCGGCAAGCAGGATCCTGCCTATGAGCTCGTTCCTGCCGATATTGTCAAAATCCATGACCATAACGTCAAGGGAGCATTCTCGAATTTTCTCCCAGGGCACGTTGAATTGGAATGAGTCGTTGAAGACGGGGTTCAGCGTACACTTGAACACTGCTGTTTTCCTTTTCTCGATCCTTTTGTCGCCGAATTGTAGCCACACTTTCACGTATGGATCTGGAATTACGTGAATTATCAACGAACATGTTTCACTACAAGCAGTAGTACAAGTCTGGAAATTAAGCCTTGAGGCTGCATTTTGTATCAAGGCAAAACTCTTGCGACTAGTTACGCACCTCTCACTGGAAAATGTCGAAGTGCTTTGAAGTTTTAACATAAAGGACCTAAAATCTCAGCTTTTTACTTCGCAAAAAATCGCTGTAGGTGTCTGCACCAGAAGCCACAGATTCCAAAAAAGAGAACTTCGTTGAAATCGTTATTTAAAAAAAAAACAACAAATACCTCTTTTCTTTTTTAGAAAAAACACTGTTTATCGTCAATCTTCGTTGCACTAAACGAGTATTGAAAACATTTTTAAGTTTTAAGGAAAAATGTACAGAGAAATCCTGGTTTGAAGTGCGTATAATAGGTACACTAAAAATTGATATATTCTCTTGATCACTCCCCGCGCGCGCCTCCCAGTTATTTACTTGTCAAAAAAATTTTAAAATTTTTTTGAAACATGAAACAAACAGGTCTTGTTCATTTTCTGCTCATAGTTCCGTCGTCACTGGATCGATTTTGAAAACCTCATAAAATTTGTAGAGGAGAAAATACAGTAGTACCTCGCCAGTTTGCGTGGGAAGTAAAATTGTTTTTATGGTAAGATAACCGTAATAATCCTTTCGATGGTTTTGTTACAAAAATCTGTTTCAAATGTTTGGTTCGTTCCATTAATAGCTAAACAGAAGTTTGTTTAAACATGTATCTTTTTCTTTTATTTATTGTTTACCTTTTAGTAGGTATTTATGATACCTAGTTCAGTAATTTCTCTATATTTTTCATACATTTTATCAGTAAAACTTCTTATCATATAATTCTTCAAACGCATTTATCTCGCTTAACATACATGTGTTTGAAGATATTATGCACCAATCGCCATATTCTGAATTTCAAGACTCGCAAAAAACTGGCTGAGACTCTGGTGCTATCGTTAATAAATTATTCAATTGCTGTTTGCTTTCCTTTTCTTGATTACGTGACTAGATATCGAGCAAAAAAAATTCATAATAGCTGCTGTAGGCTCGTTTGTGGTCTGCGAAAGTTCAGCCATGTGTCATAAAGCTGCTACACGCAGTGCCGGCGGCAATGCCGCCGGGTTTATGCCGAGCGGCTATGCCGCCGGCAATACAAGCCGCGCAAAGCCGTCAAGCATCATTCCGGTTGTGACAGTCACATAGAAAGCTAGTGAAGTGCTTTTGCATTTTGATGAAATTTTTCAATTAAGAGCAGCACAGCTTCGTCGTCCCAATTAAACGACATTTTAATTTATTTAAACACACAAACTGCACAACACTACCGCTCGAATGCCAGGAACGAAGTGACGCCGGCAAGCCGCGTAACCCGCCGGCACACCACGGCGGCTCCTTGGCGCGGCAAGGCCGGCGGCTTTGTATGCCGCCGGGTGTACGGCGGCTTAGCCGGCGGCACTGTGTGTAGCAGCCTTAAGAAGATCAATGAGCTTAGATGGTTGAGCGTTGACCAGCTTTTCACATATAATTTACTAATTTTAGTACAACGAATCAAAATCAATAGGCTACCTACTTATCTACTAAAAAGGCTAATACCACGTGGGGATCTCAATTACAGGAATCTCAGACATAACTCTGACTTCAATATACCTAGTTATAGGAGCAACATTTTCCATCGTAGCTTCACTTACAGCGCTGTCAAGGTGTATAATAGTCTTAATGATAATTACAAAAAGAAGGGAATACTTGCATTCAAGAGAACCATTAAGTACCATCTTCTGGGGTCTGCTAGCCAAGCAAGCTGATATTTTTTTTTTATTTTGTTTTCGTTTTTATTGTTTTTTTTTGTTAGAGCGGGCCATGTAGTATAGATGTATAACATCTTAAGATTACTCTATTTAAGCCTTAATTATTGTATATATTAGTTAGTCGATTGCTATTCATTGTTATATCTTTTTTGTATGTGTTCTTGCGTTGTGAGGTTAAGTGGTAGAGTAGCCAGCTGGCTAAACTTCGCCTCGCAGTGTGGATGGATTAATAAAGACATTATTATTATTATATTTGTATTATAACATTTCTGATAGACATAAGTCATATATTTAAACATCAATAATTTACGGCCACCACCATAGATAATTTAGAATGGTGTTACTTTGCTTTTTGTGTTTCATCCATCAAGCCCTTTCAGTTATACCCATAGTATAGGGGTGACTAATGGAAATCATAAATTTCAATTTTTTGGTGGCCGCCATATTGGATTTGGAATGACGTCATTTTGCTTATTATGATTGTCTTATCAAGTCATTTCATTTCATACCCGTACCATAGGGGATACCGTGGAAATGTTAAATCGCCATTTAGTAGAATCCGTCATATTAGATTCAAAATGGCGGCAGTAAATTTATACGCCTCTAATTCAGAAAAGTCTGAGAGCCTTGGGAATTAACCATTGCTCACCTAGTTTATATAAAGTTTTCATCTTTGAAATTTGATTAACGTATTCTCCATACCTTACGATAAAAATGCCCAAAAATACTCTTTCTAGCTTGGGCTTTATTAAGCAATTTGCAGACTGTCAGGGCGGCAGAGTTTGGCAGGTGGTTGAGAGTCGTCACCGTGAAACTTGATTACAAATTTATGACCAATAAACAATTACTATTGGATGTGAAGCTGCGTTATATGCCGAAATTGCTATCAGAAAAGAGTATCCTTACCACCATGTATATCATGATACTCAATTTTGTATTCTCAGATCTTCTCAACACCCACTTTATGCTAAACTAACATTCCGTAGATTCTGCCACTATGCCCTTTCGTGGATTAAAACTGTATCGGCTTCTCCTTAATGAGAAAATACCTGTTGGGTGACGCCAGCCATGGCAGCACTTCTACAGAATTTCTATACCAAATGAATGTGCGCAGCAAAATTCCAAAATACAAAATCCGTTACAAAGCAATTCTGAGTGCACGCTCAGCATCGTATAAGCGAGTAATTTTCGGAGCTGAGTCCTGTTCAGACCATAAAATTTTTATATGGCTAATCGCCTCACTAATGAAGTTGGAAACCGGTGAAAATCCTACTAGAGGGACGTTTAGAGCTTTGGATTAGAGATACATTTTATGTTTAAGTGTTTAGTGAGTGGCGCAGCTGTAACCTGATACCACGGACTTTCAGGCAACGTTAATCATTTGTTAGGTGGTTGTTTTTTGATTTTTCATAATAAACTAACCGTGAAGGCAGAACTTTAATACAGAAATACCGTTACTGCTATAAGGATACGTCATTGGTGATCGATGTATTTGAGCTATCTAAGATAAGTGTGATTGAGGAAGGCTCTTCGGGTAGATTAGGGTTAAGGAAGCGGTCGTACCAACCTGTTGTTGGTTAACACAGTTCGAACCATTCAAAATAAGGAGTACAAGCATCGCGGTTCCGCCTGGCAGACCTAAAACGCGACGGCATCGCACATGTCAGAAGACCTGATTCATAGCCGGTCTTGTCAGTATGTGGTTCGAATGTTTCTTTGAATTAAAGTTTTTACATGCACTCTTCAAATACTAAAAATAAAGATAAATTCATCATTCCTATACATAAAACAGCCCAGTGATATTAAAACAAGAATAACCACAAAATATAGATCCTATTACCAGATTGATATTAGCGTTTCACGAGGTAGATTTATTTTATTTTGTGTTGTTGATTTTAGAAAGGAAACGATCACCTTTTATAATATGTCTAGTAAATATTTAAGAATTCTTAATTGACACATTTAATACATCTGATTAGCAGGTCTAGTAGCAAAGGCCCTCTTTTCGGATTAATTTGTATTTTTATGATATTTAAAATATGCATTTATTCCATTAAAGACGATCATCTATCTGTCTTATTATATTAATATCTAATAATGTGAGTTTTACTTACAGGCTGGGTTAACAAAAAAATAGATGTAGAACCTGCGTGGTGTTCCAAATAAGAAACAGTGTAAGGCAAAACAGTGAAAAAATTGTAGTGAAATAGCCTGCACAATTGTGAATATATACTAATATACAGGGTTATCCAAATTAAGTGTCCACCATTAGTAACTTTGTTATTAGTGAAAATACAAAGTTGTTTGAATTAGCAAACTAGTAGCATTTTTAACGCTGGTAAAAATGAGAAATAAAAAAAAAACAATTGAGAGTCGTTATTTTGATTTTTTTCAGTAAAATAACATTTTTTTAAATGGAAACCCCTGTATATTATATTTTTTTCTGTTAAACCATCAAATTTTAAACAAAAAAGCTTACAATAAGTTTTCTCCTAGGTTACAAATTGTTGAAGTTATGGCCTCCAATCTGAAACAATTAAATTGTATCGACAAACTTTATTTTCAACATCAACTTATAATCTTACAAAATACAATAACAATTTTTTTTAAAGAAGATGCTCGAAAACACCACCTTGTTCTTCAATACATTTTTGGGCACGTTTTTCAACTGCTCGAACTGTCTTAAGTATGGTCCTACCATCTATCTGGGTTATCTTTTCCCTAACTGCAGTCTTTAACGCGTCAAGGTTATCGTACCTTCGCTTGTAAATTTGGTTCTTTAAGTTACCCCACAAGAAGTAATCAAGTGGGTTTAGATCTGGTGATCTGGGAGGCCACTGTATTGGGCCATTTGTTCCTATCCACTGATCATTAAAAGTAGTACTTAGAAAATGATAAGTACCTCTGGAGTTGTGGGCAGGTGCGCCATCTTGCTGAAAATGCAGATGATGTCTACTTATAAGATCCAATTCGTCTAAGAAATTAGTCAGAATTTCTGACATAAATTCCACATATCTTTCACCAGTTAGGGTTCCCTCATAAAAGAACGGGCCAACAATTTTTGAACCAATTATACCGCACCAAACGTTGAAACTGAAACGGACTTGTGGGCCTCTTGGATGTACTAACAAAAGATTTTCTCTTGACCAATAATGGTGGTTTTTTCTATTAAACATTCCAGAATTTGAAAAATTTGATTCATCTGTCCATAAAAGGTAACGAAAGTTATTTACATTTTGGCGACAGAAGCTAAGATACCAATGGCAAAAAACAAGTCTTCTCTCTGGATCCCCTGCCAAAAGCGTTTGAACTGGTCGGTACTTATACGGAATAAATTTGTATTTTTTTAAAATCCTTTGAACAGTACCATAACTGAAATTAGAGTCCTTGAGAATATCTGCTATTGAATTCTCACGATAAGCTTCAAAATATCCAATAACTGCAATTTCCGTGGCCTCGCTTATTATGAATTCTTTTTTTGCCCTTGTTTTAGCAAAAACATTTTCGTTGTCCCTAAATTTTCGATAAAGTCTCAGAAAATATCGTTCATACGGTTGAATGCGAGCGGGATATAATTCACTGTAGTATTCTCTTGCTCTCAAGGAGGATTTTCTGCACACTAAATAGCATTCTAACATATCACACTTTTCTTCATGGGAGAACATTTTTCTTTAAATTAATGACACAATAAAGCTTATAAACAAGTATTTACACTAATGTTTGACATTATTTGATTTTATCATTGTTTTCCAAAGCCTTCTAGTTGCGAGTATGTCCAGTTTAACAATTTGTCGCTTATCTTAATGCTGTCAAATCGCGAACGCCATGTTGTTTTCATAGCCGTCTTAATATTATAATACTGCAAATAATTAAAAATATTTATCGTTATTTTGACTTTATTTTTGACTTTAGCGGAAAAGTCATTATGAACTTTTTTGTTTAAAATTTGATGCTTTAACAGAAAAAAATATAATATACAGGGGTTTCCATTTAAAAAAATGTTATTTTACTGAAAAAAATCAAAATAACGACTCTCAATTGTTTTTTTTTATTTCTCATTTTTACCAGCGTTAAAAATGCTACTAGTGGATAGGAACAAATGGCCCAATACAGTGGCCTCCCAGATCACCAGATCTAAACCCACTTGATTACTTCTTGTGGGGTTACTTAAAGAACCAAATTTACAAGCGAAGGTACGATAACCTTGACGCGTTAAAGACTGCAGTTAGGGAAAAGATAACCCAGATAGATGGTAGGACCATACTTAAGACAGTTCGAGCAGTTGAAAAACGTGCCCAAAAATGTATTGAAGAACAAGGTGGTGTTTTCGAGCATCTTCTTTAAAAAAAATTGTTATTGTATTTTGTAAGATTATAAGTTGATGTTGAAAATGAAGTTTGTCGATACAATTTAATTGTTTCAGATTGGAGGCCATAACTTCAACAATTTGTAACATAGGAGAAAAGTTATTGTAAGCTTTTTTGTTTAAAATTTGATGCTTTAACAGAAAAAAATATAATATACAGGGGTTTCCATTTAAAAAAATGTTATTTTACTGAAAAAAAATCAAAATAACGACTCTCAATTGTTTTTTTTTATTTCTCATTTTTACCAGCGTTAAAAATGCTACTAGTTTGCTAATTCAAACAACTTTGTATTTTCACTAATAACAAAGTTACTAATGGTGGACACTTAATTTGGATAACCCTGTATATAATACTAATAATGCAATAAACCAATCCTTGATAATATATCTTTTAATTCCTTCAACATTAAGATAAGAACCAGTTACAATGATTAATAAAGGCCAGAAAAAATTATCAAACTCTTGCTCAATTTTTCGGACACACTTGTTTATTTACGATGGATTTACTAAGTCAGCTTCATCCTGAATTATTAAAAAATACATCAGTCATACTCGTATATATCTACTTCAGCAAGTTAAAAAAGTCCTGTTTGCTTTTGCTCTGAAAGCATTAGCCTTCAAGTTAACCGATTTCTGCTTTATACAGGATACCTTGAAATGCTTGCGTCAGAAATCTCAGCCACATACTTGGCAGTAATCCAACTGAAGTAAGTTATGACATGAAATACTCTTATCTTCAGATCTGTATACCACCTGTATAGAAAATCTTAACATAAGATCAATCCGTGCGCTTGAAGTGTATTGAGCATACTTATCTAAGCTAGTCATACTTCAAGGAGGAATTGTTCCAATGTTAGATTGAGTGCCTGTATCCAATTGCAAAAAAAAATTATCGTTACTGGACATCAAGTCAGGGCATACATATTTATACCTACCTGATTTTCCGTTAATGTCTTTCGCCTTGAGGTTACGTGCTTTGAGCAGGGTTAACGTTAAGATACTGTTGCTAGGGTGGTAACAGAGTGATGTGAGCAGCTCTCCACACTTGTCCTTTGCAGGAGGCTTCAGTGCCTTCCAAAATGATGGCTTTTCACTTAGGTCCACCTGAAATTTATGCAAAGAAAGGCTTATTAATATTAAATTATTCAGTGGACATGTTTTTTAGAAAACTGAAGAAAACGTTATTCTTTAGACTAGTTTTGAATCATTAGTCTTAACTAAGGGAGAATATAAGAGAGGATTTATGAGGGTAAACAAGAGGAAGAAATGTAATAAAAGTTGGCGCAGTGTAGGGAAATATTCTGAAATTTGGTAGATTCTAAGTAAGGTAATTTCAAAATTGTACAACTGAACACGTATAGTTTGTATTTTGAACAAAAAGAGTAGTTAGTAAGCACCGTGAATCCGCTACCATGTTTTGATTATATACTATATGTACGAGGTCTGATAATTAAGCAATGAGAATGATTTTTTAATTTATTCAAATATAATTACAATTTTTTACTGGCCAGATTTTAGTTATTGACGTTACTAAGTGACAAGGTGCATTATCGTGATGTACCACCCTGTTGATCTGATGAACGGTGGTGTGAGTCAAAACTAACTCTTTCCCGGTCATTCTGACTGAGGATTTGAACGCACGGTTCTTGAGGATAAAGGTTTTCCGTTCCGTGGTTCATCTTCAATCGACTCGCTCCCTTCTGGAAATGCCTTAAACCAACGAAAAACCTAGGCTCTTGACAAAAATCTCCGTAGGCCTGCTGAAGTTTATCAAGAGTTTCCGTTGCACTGTACCTAAGTCTAAAGCAAAACCTGATAGCACACCGATGCTCGAAGTTGTTGTTACTCATTTTTAGAACACAACAGAAAAAACTGTTTCACAAAAAAATCGTTACGGACAACCAAATGACTCGAGCGAGTTCAAACTTGTACTGAAGGCGGATCACATATTCCCCCGTCTCGCCTCTTATTTGGCCTGCTTATCAAGGAAGTTCTAGACTCAAGACTTCCCTAACCTGTATGTTAAAAAACTTAATAATCCATGTCAGGTCGTAAGTCTACTTCAAACCGTTCGTAAGCAATGCTTTGTTATTGAGAGTATTGCAAAATATATATCTGACCTGACATAATGGCAGGAAGACCTCCCCAATGGAATCATCCCTGCTGAATCTGTCATAATCGAAGACGTGCAGGTGGAGCACCCTGGACTGCAGCTTCTGTATAGGGAAACCTTCGAAGTAGAAGGTTTCATTCCATCTGGGGTTCAGCGTACGCCTCTTTATCTTTGTTTCCAGTCGGTGTTTTTTGTCTGGTAACAGGGTTACCCTTACATACGGATCTGACGTGCCGCTCAGATCCTTTGCTGGCAGGTCTTTACCCTGAAACAAATAATTCACAGCTCATTGGAAGAAACAATTGAGGAAATCTTGTTTTGGACTATTGTAGTTAAGATAATCCATCGACTGCATCTTTCCCTCGTAACGAGCATTACTCGTTTTTCCTGGTACTGCTTCTTTTGTCCAGTCAAAAGGGTATTCCAGAAAAACGTGACAATATTTCTATGGTAAAAAGTGATATACATCTAAAGATAAATAAAATTTCTACAAACACAGGTCCTGTAATGTTTTAGATATAGGATGTTGTAAATCTCTACGCCTCTAATTACACTTAATGAGGACAAAACGTGAACAAATAACGTCATCTTCCTCTCCTAATACACAACATACAATTTTCAATGTCAAACTTTACTTCAGCCTATTTTAAAAGCAGACGAAAATCTCTGAAGAGAGGAGACTCATGTAAAATGGAAAACCTCATTCAAAAATGCTAAGCAAAATATATGTATTTCAAAATGTCAGTGTAGTAGAAAATAATCTTCTATTTATCTTTTATAAGTTCCCCCTATTCTTACGCCGCTGGTGTAATGTCAAGTATGAAAATTTGTATCTATTGGTTATGATGTCAGTGTTCAAAATTTTAAGTTAATATCTTAAAACACTCCCAAGACATACTTTTTTCGATTTCGAAATTATAATTTCAGTACTCTGTACATCGGTAAGGATACACTTTAGAACTCATGCTTATATGAATGTTTTGTATAGTTTTTTTTATGTATTATATGTCACATTTTTCTGAAACACCCGGTATATCAGTCCCTCATTAATCGCCACCGAGATTGTCAACCATCCAATTGGACGAATAAAGAGTTTCACCTGATTGAACGAAGATTCATTACGCTGTCCAAGAGATTAATCACCTGTAACTTAGATTACTCATTATTTCCCCTATATTTACTTCTAAGACCGAAACGGGAAATTCTTTGTTTTGGAACGTAAGCCGATTACAACGATGCTGGGGTAATTCTTTAAATTTGAAATTTAAATGATATTTTATTTCCAAGGCAGGCACATCTCCATTTAAATGGAAAACTTCTGAGAATCCACACTGCCAGTTTCTTTGTTTCTCTTATTTCCAGGGAGATTAAGTGATTATGTTCAAATTGAACGATTGAAAATCGTTTTACTGTTCCTTTTTTCCTTTAATAGGTCTCGAGTTCGTGGACCCCTGGTTAGCTACATTTAGAGTTGATCAGTATTCTAAATAACTGATTTATTACTTTTTTAGTGAATCGCTTCGATTTCGCTTATTCTGTCATTATTCCAAAACTGTAATAGAAGCGTGATTATCGAATTTTACTGATTTTATAAGAGTTTCATATTTTTTTGTCAATATATACTGAGTGACAAAAAAAGGTAAACACCTACGAAAATTTATCAGAATTCCAACAAGAGATAAAATGGTCAGTTTCTGTGGTGGCTGTGTGTATTGTTTGGTGATAAAGAAACATTCAGTTTTCGTACATTTACGGTGTCAGTTAAATGTTAAATTTCGTGTAGCTTATTGAGAAGCTTTTTTGTGATTGCTCAAAATGCCTAGAGTGCGTGGAATTCGCCGGGTGTCCCGGCTAAGTCACTTTGAAAGGGGTCGAATCGTTGGGTTGCGTGAAGCTGGTCTAACGATAAGAGAAGTTTCTTGGAAGACCAACAGATCCTTACGCAGTATACTGCAGTGTGAACTAGCGTGGACTTAGGAAGACCGAGGACAGCGAGCGAGGGGATCTGGACGTCCCAGAGGGACCACAGAGCGACAAGACCGCCAGCTAAGACTTCTGGCTCTGAGAGACAGATTGAGTAGTACTCGAGCCATCGCTGAAGAGCATGGAAGGATGGTTGGTATGCGTACGGTATATTGCCGAATACGACAATTTGGGCTTTTTTTCTTATCGCCCACATTGGGTGCTACCTCTCACAGCTGAACATCGGTGCAACCGATTGCTCTGGTATAGAGAATGAATTCTCTGGGACCGGGAATGGAATCAGGTGGTCTTTAGTGACGAATACCGCTTCTGTCTGGGGATGCACGATGGTTGGGCAAGAGTGAGAAGGTGACGTGACCCACAATTTGACAGAGAGCGTCACGTTTACCATATCGTGGGAGTTAAGGTATGGGGTGCTATTGCTTATGCTAGCAGATCACCACTAATTTTAATCAGAAGCAATATGACAGCCTGCTGACACTATATTCAGGAAGTAGTGAAGCCTCATCTTATTCTACACCTAAACACCATCCAAAACCCGGCAAGATAATGCCAGACCGCATGTTACCAGAGCATCGTTAGCCTTCATGGATCAACATCGCATCAACCGTTTACCTTGGCCACCACGATCGCCTGACCTATCTCCAACTGAACAAGTCTGGGTCATAATAAGTCGCTGGCTCTAGAATTTGCAACACCCTCCAGATACTTTAGCAGCTCTTACTCACGAAGTTGCAGTAGCCTGGAATGAGATACCCCATCAGGATATCGACTTCATTTCATATTTACGTGGGCAGTAGCTAGGTGCAAGTTTGAGAAACTTTCATATACAAGTTATAAATAGTTTTTAGGTTAACTTTGGACATTTTTTAGATTTTTAGATAATTTTGAAGTAAATGTTTCTTACGAACTTTTCTCTAAAGTTTCGATTCGCGATTTAATGTCTCAAAAAATAGCTTAAATGCTTAAAAACTCGGTTCAAAATTACTACTCTTGAGGCTAACAACTGTATAAATTACAGGCAGAAGCGGTGGCTTAGTGGTAGACGCTACAGTCTCCTAATCAGTCGCCGTGCGCTGCGCGGGTTCGAATCCCGTCCCAATATAAATTTTTCTCTTGGCTATGGATGTTGTGATTCTCCGTAAGTGGTAGACGGTCTCTGACTGTCGTACGCGGAGGGACTACCCGGCGGATCTCGTAGGCGGGGCCATGTGTGCATGCTGCATGCATACGTGTTCCCTCGCTAGAATCCGTGTGGCGTCCGATCCTTTCCCCTGAATCCCCATATAGCGCCACAGTTCCCCATGGGGTGTTTAGGCCTTAGGCCTTCGTGATAGTTGAAGTATAAAAAAAACCTCTTGCAAAACAGGTTCTAGCCGCTCAGTGCTGCCATATCGCTGAGACTCATCGCACATTACTAACAAGTAAATAACAATGCTCTGGGTAAACTACGCTCTAACTACTCGTCAATGTCTCTTAGAGGACGGTTCGCGCTTTAATGTAGATACCTGAGAACAAAAACGGTCGACTTTCGAGACAAGCTACAAAGCGCGTATTTGTTCAGAATAATCCAAACCAATTATTTTTTTTGTGATTCGTCTAGAAAAAATGTTAGAACGCACCGGCAGTCTCTTGATCAATGTTAAGTGACATTGGAAGGAAATTGAGCATTGTCGATTAACTATTTAGCCACATCCCTGGATTACGAGGTCTGTAAATTAAGTGATGAGACCCATTTTTTTATACAAATATAATTACAATTTTATATTTCCACGACACTTGAAATAACTTCCTTCTGAAGGCGCTGGAGACGATTCTTCCACTCCTCATGGCAGTGCTGGAACTCGGATACTGGAAAAGCCTTCAGCTGGTTTGTTACAGCAGTTTGAATGTTTTCGTCTGGCCCAAAATGACTTCCCTTGAGTTTTTTATACTTCGGGAAGAGAAAAAAGTCACAAGGACTCATGTTAGTCGAATAAAGAGGCTGAGGAGCCACAGGAATGTTTTTACTGGCAAAACTCGTTTATTGACATTGCTATTTGACAATGAGCATTATCGTGATGTAACACCCAGTTGTTCTTGACCTGATGCACGGTGATGTGAGTCAAATTTAACTTTTCCCGATCATTCTGATCACACACAAGATCCCGTATTCTGCCGATATCTTCATCGGTTCTTGAAGATGAAGGCCTTCCGGTTCGTGACTCATCTTCAATCGATTCTCTTCTTGCCTTAACGCCTTAATCCACCGGAAAACAAACCACTATCTTTGTAGGCCTGTTTAGCAAAAGTTTTCGTTGCAGTGTGCTCAAGTCGGAAGCAAAACCTTATGGCACAGGATGGCTTGAAATTGATGTCTGCCATTTTTAGAACACAATAGAAAAAACTTTTACAAGAAAACGCTACGGACAACCAAATGACTCGAACAAGTTCAAACTTCTGTTGAAAGGGGATCGCATGTTCCTCTGTCTCCCCTACAAGCCCGGCGCTTGCAGTGTTGCCAGACCGCGTATGTACCTGCTAGGGGCAATGCCGATAGTTGGACGTTGACTTTAATGGCACACCAAATGACTCGAACAAGTTCAAACTTGTATTGAAAGGGGAACGCATGTTCCTCTGTCTCCTCTCCAAGCTCGGCGCTTCCAGTGTTGCCGGATTGAACGCTACGTTGCCAGTCTCATCACTTAATTTTCAGACCGCGTATGTACCTGCTAGGGGCAATGCCGATAGTTGGACGTCGACTTTAATGGCCGAGCAATGCTATTCATATTGGCGTATTAAGGTCATTACCATTTCATTGACGTTAATGACCAAGAAGGGATATAAGGACGGACAGCTGAAACATAATAACGATATTTGTAGTAATGAAAAAAGGAATATTCAAAACACTTGAAAACTACGACGAGGACAAAACAAATATTATCAAAATCTGGAGCTAGTCTTTGCTCAGCAATATGGCTTTTCTGTGAGTAATTCGAAAGCGTTTTGCATAACATAACCTCACATACAACTATATCACCATTTGGCCGCTGTTTGACGGATATCAACATCACTAGCCGGACAATGATGTCAAAGCGCACTTACATTATATTTTTATCTACATCGTCCAACTTTAACGTTAACGCCAGAATTATCTTCGTTGCCCGTAACATATCTATTATATCATAATTCGGCAGGATAATGTCAAGAGCTGTTAATTTTCCAATTAACACATTGACTGCCGGATCAGTCACTTGTGACCGACACTAAACTATTTTAGTGGTACCGTGTCAGCCATCAGGACTGACACTATATATCTATTTTTAACTTGTTATTTAGTAAAGCATCGAAATAAATAAAATATTTGTATCATTGAGTTTCTCAAGCTAGCATTCAATGTGTTTAAAGCGGCGTTTGAACGCATAATTTATCGAGCAAGTTTGCTGATTAATCGTGGAAACTATAATATAACACTAATTAATGTGTATTTGCTGGGAAATAATGATGCTTTTTACAATTAAACACATGATTTCTATTTTTCTCACTGATCGTTTTCAGAAAGATATTCTTCCTAGAATACATTACTAAGTTTTAAAAAGTTTCTCAAAATATATATCCGTACATACAGTGTCTACAAGAATATAAAATAAATAATATTTATAGATGTCGGGGGTTAACACGTGCAAATTATAACTTGATCCTGAGCTTCGATACGTAATAATATTGACGTATGTAATATGAGAGCAAATCCATCCAACGTGCCCGTTCACGTCAATTTAAATATTTAGCAATTTTCCATCGATATTTGTTCGAGAGTATAGGCTTGCTTCAACATTGCTAGTGAATTTGGCCTCGATAAAACATAGCTCGTGCCATCATCCACTTCTGAATATCTGAATATAGCGACATGTTTTAATATAAAGGATAGCAGACAAGATGCTAGGAGATACATACCTGTATAATTCTCAATATGAGCGTTGTATTTTGAAAATCATATTCCAAAGAAAAATGTATTTGTCCTACATTCTCTGAAGGTTCTGAATTGTCAATGTACATGTCCACCAGCGATATTGAGCGATTTTGCAGAAACGCCATCTGTAACACAAATGTAAAATAAACAGATGTGTTGTTACTCAAATATTTATTTATTTTCATATCATCCAATTAGAGTCTGATATTGAATTAACTGAGTATTGAAAATATTAATTAATAAGAGTTAACCTTTGTGGAAATTCATTTTGTTGCTATCATATTTCCATGAAGTGGTTTAACGGTAATATGTCATGAAAAAATATGAGTTTAATTAGTAAAATGTCAATGACAAATTCAACACTATGTTGGATGGTATTGGAAGATGATCTATAGATCCATATCCCGTAGCCCCAATAAATGCATATGGCTCAAATGCAGTATACATATGAAAGTGCGTTAGCAAAGAAAACGTTAATCTAGAGTTGACTATCCCCTGTATGTCACAAATGTGCTTAAGGTGTGATTTTCGTTTGGTAACAATTTATCGAAATGGCTGGAAATTTTATATGTTACAATACAAAATAATATTGGGATGAGTTCCTGTGCTGTCTTAGAAGCATATTTTCGCCAATATTTCATTAGAAGCTCTATACCGGGTGTAACAAAGGTCAAGGGCAGGTCTTTATCAACTTTGAACAAGGAGCTCAGCGGTAATCCTAGATTTGACCTCGAGCCTCACGATCTGGGTTATTCCAAAATAAACTTTTGTTTTTGACTGCTGCAATCAGATCAGAAATACTCTAAATGTGTATTCAAATCTAAGATCAATGTCACATCAAAAGGCCAAATGAAAGTGAAATTTTTGAGATTAGAGAATATTTCTAAAACTTTAGCAGGGTTATCGATTGAAAAAGCAAGGCCATACCTTCAATAACTTTCAACAAGGATTTCAATGTTGACCTCGATTTGACCGACATCGTAAAATACTCCATTTCCGGTGGAGGAGGTCCTCAGTTGAAAAAACGTTGACAATGGAATGCCTAAAGATGAGGTTCAACGTTGTATCCGTTGTATCATTAAAATCTTTGTTAAACGTTACTAAAAACTCAACCTTAATGATTTTTCTTGTCAAGAATCCTCCTGAACTTTCAAGAATTTTCCCTATCCTCACACATTTTATGTTTAGTTGACCTTCAGAGGTGACCTTCGTCTTAGATGTTTAACGTATTCAGACATAGAATTGCACTTCCTATTGCCGGTTTCAAAAAGTTGACCTTAAAATAACCTAGAAGGTGAGGTACAAATTCCAAGTCACTATTGAACTTTCTGTTTAAAGTTAGGTTTGTAGCGCCCTCGTAGCTGGGACCATGAGTAACTATAAGACGACCTCGCCATATCGACACTTAGGCAACCAGAGTTACGCCGCCGTGCATCGAAGGCGGTTGAGCTTGCAACCAGAATACATGCGTTAGCGATGGCATCGGGAGCATTTGACACTCATCGAGAAACATCTACCGCCATCGAGAAGCATCGATCGACATCTAGATACCTTCGCTGAAGCACTGAAAGGCTCTGGATTGGCCCATCTGAACATAAAAGATGCTTCGCCGTCGATGGAAAGGGAATCGAGCAGTCTGCAGCGAGCGAGCGATAGTCCAGTCGATATGTTCATAAGTTTGTCATAAGTTAGCTGAAAGTATTTTTATAAACTGGTGTAAGAGTAATAAATTACATTTTGGACTGCAAAAATGGTGTTTTCGTTACGGTCTACATATGACGTTGACCTTTTTTAGAAACGCCGCAAGTACATTTGACAAATGATGTCTTCCCGGCAGACGAGGATATCTTGATGCTGGGAGCAGATGTTTCTGGGTTGTGACTTGTGAAAAAATGTTATCTTCAAGGCTGAAATAGGCAACCATAGCTTGACGTGCCAGTATTTCTTTGTTAGCGAACTTCGGTACCGACTGCATTTGAATTATACCTACGTTTATCGGGATAGATATAGCATTGTAGAAGCTTAAAACTTTTACAAATATCCCTATATACATATATATTGTATATATATACAGGGTGACTTTGAAGTTGAGTCATTAATTTTCAGATAATGATTGTAGAAGGAAGATAAACCAAAATATGTGTGTAAAAATAAAAAAAAAATAAAAAAAAAATGTTACCTTGTTTAATAAAGTATCCTCCCGACAAGTATTTCAGTGCGGACCTGTATTTGATCGTGCGGTCTTGGAGCAGCATGCCCTCACCTGTGAGGTCTTAAGTCACCTGATTCACGAGCCCTTAACAAAGGCACGAGGGGTTGGTTGCACTCGATTGGGAAACCCATTCGCGTAAATCCGTGATGCATCCGGGAGCATTTTGTAAAGACTGCCCCCCCGTAAATAAGAATCATGTCCACAAGTTCAGCATTTTCGTAAACATGTGCCATTTTTGATTTCGTTTGAACCACGCAACACACTACTATTCACTTACGCGTTATCGACTGACGAAAAACATCGTGATAAACGTTTCAAATTCTTTCGCTTTTTTGTTTCCGATGCGATGAACCGGTCAGGCGGATTATATCCGTTGTCGCCAAACACGAGCATATAATAGGAAGGGCGGTACTCAAACTTCCAAAGGGCTATAACTTTGTTACTTTAATTTTACCAGAAAAATGGTAAAGGAAAAAACATTTCTTTTGATCAGATCTACTCACTGTTAAAATAAATGACTCAACTTCGAAGTCACCCTGTATATATATATATATTGAAATCGGTTTAGTTATTTACAAACCAGGCATAGACGAATGTGGCTGTAATAAGAGTTATTTACGTATGGAGTAACGTTGCACCTCACAGGGCTAGTTACGTAACATCTTTAAACAGAAATCATGGGAATAACTACAGGTGTCAGATGCATATCCCTCTAGAACAAGTAACATATCAAAGATATAAACAGTTCGCTTTGACAGATTATCGTACGTCGTGACAGATTTTGAGTGGCTATAACTGCTTGTAGTGTTGCATAGTAGCCATATGATGTTCAACTTTAAAGAATAAATAACTTCCGGTAGTCACAGGTTTTTTTTGACAAATGAATCAAAACGTTGAAGACGCTGATATTGTTTGATAGGTTGCTTATTACGTGAAATAACTTTGTTTTGCGAACAATTAAACTTCTTTGTAGAAGCCAATGAAGACGCTAATAAATTACATAACTACATTTGTAATTAAATCTTCTAAGGTTACAAGTGTCTGAGATAAATTGTAGAAAACTCTGGGCAGCAAAAAGCGAACACCAATATATTTGTACATATTGCCCTTTTTACTTTAGTCCAACAAATATTTGTCACTTAGAGAAAAAGTATTTCTTATTGTAATATTCGAATTTGTTCTGTACAAAGGTACATTAGCAAGACTGTATAATATTATCCTAAGCAACAAATGTTACAAACAAGTAAGATCTTTTCAATTTGTCGTCTTCCTAAAAGAATATTCAGAATTTAGTTGCAGTGGACAGCGTCATTATCGAACATATATTTTTAAACTCTTTTCGAAATTACTGATTTTAGTTTATCGAAGTAATACAAAATCGTAATAAGGGAAATTTGACATAAGCTAATGCCAGTGCTTTAAACATATAGTTTCAGCAATATGTTATGATCATTTGCCACAAATCTACTAATTCATTCATTTCACATTGGACTAAAGTAAAATACTTCATTGCGTGAACAAAAGCAGTATCACGTTAATTCTATCCTTACTTGAGTTCTCCCACTGACATTATTGTGAACAGACAACAGACACTCTTATGTCACTGCTTCCTACTACACTTTGTAGATTAAAAGATAATCTAATGAAATATTGCCTCCCCCTTCATGGCTCTTCAGAACAGAAGTTTAGAAGGATGTTTGTTTATATGTGTCAAAAGAACCTCTGTCAATAGAGAGTTTTAACAATCACAAGTTTCGCAAAATATTAATGGCTTGAATGTCTGAACGTTAACACTTATGTATGCAGAATTTGTGATTGTCAGCACTTTCTGTGATTTCCGATATGCGATCAATACTAGAGATAACTGGTCAAATCGCTTTTATCACTTTAAGCACGTTCCTTATTCGCCATTGCGGCTCGGTAAACAATAAGAAGCTCATTAAATTGTTTACCACCATGATAGCAACTTACAAGGAACCCAAGTGGCAGCAAATATAGGATTGAAGTTATATCTGAGAAATGTAAAATATGCAGGTTGTAGTAATACTGAAACTATACAAAAATTCAAGCTGACACTATTGGAGCAAGATTGAGACATAGATTTTTTGAATATATTCTTTTTATGTTTTCATTGGGACTCCCTGGTCACGTGTGGCTCATACCTATGTGTTTTGAATTCAGCTTATCTGCATGCGACTGCTGATTGATTTATGGTCTAGTTAACCGAAGTTCTCTCAATCAGCAGGAAGCACTTTTGCAGCATAATTTATTTCTTTATGTAATACGAGTATATATATATATACTTTTTTTTGAGTCGTGGTCATTGTCGTTAAGACCAGTTAGGTGAAAAAATAAAGCTTCCGCCTTTTGTTGGGTACTTCGACAAAATTCAAGCAAATAGGACTCTTTATACTTTATTAATCTCTAGCTTTCAATGGACTTTGCCATCTTCATCAGGAGCTGCAATAACATTGAGAAGAAATAGCAACTATTGTGCAAAATGATTTTGAATTAACTTACAGTAGTATGCGAGGTTGTTGCTGAATGTTATTAACGTTTTGATTGAGGGATACACCCAGTAACCTGGTGAATGCTGGATACATGGTACATTTGTCAAAATTAATATAAACCACACACAGCTGTATGTCAGGAACAAATTAAAACAGATTATTATTTTAATTTAATTTATTTATATATATATATATATATATATATATATATATATATATATAGGTCTAGACGACAATGACCACGTCTCAAGTTATATATATATATGTATATATATTGTACCATTTTCCATGGCATTTTCTCCAAGCTACGAGTTGTTAAACTGTGAATACTGCATCATTGTTGAGTTGAGTAAATGTATTTATAAAGTACAAAGTTGCATTTCTTATATTTATTTTTTGTTACGTTGTATTCAAGCAGCGTATTGT